AAAATTGCTTTTAGTGGAATGCCACATATTGAACACTTTAAAATTCTATTCGTTAGAGATCAGGTGATAATTTATGCAGGTCTATGCGGGTCTACCGGGTACCCGTGTCTGAGAACCGAAGCCGGGCGGTTTTAAAAATCATGAAATTAGACTCGACCCGATGGCCAGTTCTCGGTTCGATTCCGGGTTTCAGTTTGGTTCTGCAGAACACTAGGTCTGGGTCTGGTTCAAAGTCTGCAGACTGGTCTGAGTTCAAATAGTTATACCACGTTGCTTTAATGCAAATACATAATTTGGACTGATTTTTAATGATTTATTAAATTGCTAGTGATTCTTTGTATCTGCTTATTATATGATAAGTTATTCTGTGAATTGCTAATGCCGTATCTAAATCAAACTTCAAAAATTTTTCCGGATATCTATTCTGAACTATCACATAATCATCTGCACAACCTGGTACACATTTTAAGGATGCTAGCTCATCATATGATGACGGGTTCTAATACTAGCATATAAAAATAAGATAGCTGTGCTGTCACGTGAAACCAGGAACGTAAATTTATGAGTGTGCTAGAATGGTTTATACAGCACAGGCGGCTTTTCCAGACTGGTTCTAATAAATAATAAAAAATAACAGATTAAATTTATAAGATACTAGTGCATTAGATAATACTTGGTGCCACCTCTTTTTAGTAATTAAAATAAAAATTGATACTGAAGATTTTGAAATCACTCTTAAAAGTAAAATTATTAAATTTGGTCAAACTAAGCTTAATTCGAGCCATAATGTCCATTTTCTCTATTTGATTGGGTAAAATTGCCACCCAAAAAAGTTTTGAACATCACGTGACAAATATAGAGTACCAAAAATTCATCAAAAAAATACAAACAAAAAAAATTTAAACTAAAAATAATAATAATAAGCAATTTGTTTATTTTGAATAAACTCCAATAAATGTAATATTTGTTACAGCTAGTAAGTACAGTTAGCTCTTTCTATAACGAACTAAAGATTTTGGAAGAAAAAAAAGTTGTTAAATAAAATTATTATATTTTCTTAGAAAGGTTCATTATACCCAGTCAACTATATTGTGATTATGGTTTTTAAGTATTTGAAATATTCCATTGCCTTTTAAAATAGGTATAATCCTCCTCCAATAACTCAAAGTTTCTATTACATTATTAATACTATCGAGCCATTTGTTACAATTTGGATTCATTATATTTTCTTCACCAATTTTTTTTTGTTACATTCTGGATTCAGAATTATAAATTTTTTTGCTCAAATAATTAATCAGAGTTATAGACTTCCGGAAGAGAATTAAAAATAAATCTACAAGGTTTCTGGTTTAATTGCATTTCATTGATTAGTTTTTATAATTTTATTTCATTTCATTCTTTTTTTTCATTTATTATTAGTGGAAATTTAATTACAGCAGTCGATGTAGATTTTTATGGTTTGCGAGATTGCAACGATCGCTTTTCATTTTGAAGAATCGAAGAACAAAAATCATTTGATAAATCAATTAACATGATCCTAATCATGATGAATTGACAATATCACATGATTTTCGAAACTTTTTTGGGTGGCGATTTTACCCTGGTCAAATTAACTGGTTCGGGCTTGTCCTAGCCAGTCTGGTCCTAAAACTAAAAGCAGTTTTTTTCAGGTTTAGCCCAGTTTTAAAACTAACTGTGGTTTATCAGTTTAGAACAGATTACAGTATAACATCTCCGTTGAACCGAGTCCATCCATCTCTAGATTGGTTTACAGAACTAAGTTTGGATGTCTGCTAATAAATAATGCTACTCAAATCGATTGTCAATATTTTAAATTTTAGGTGTGATCTAAATTAATTACTTAAAAAGGTTAGCGTTAGCATTAGCATATTATTAACATAAAACTCGATAGCAATAGAATCTTGTACGTACATACGTAATATAAACGTAATTTTCTCGATTGTATTTAAACTTGATTATATTTAAAATATTCTGATTTCTCAGATCGACAACCTTTAAGTAGCAATACGTATATACGTACCAGACTAATATAAGTTTAAAACTTGTAGATCTTTACAAAATAATTTTCACATGACAAAATCATGCTGCCCAATAAGATCAAAGATTTTGTACATAGTTAGTTGGCTGTAAAAATTCAGACTCAGACTAGTCTGCAGACCAGACTCAAACTTGATTAAAAAGTTTGAATATAAAAGTCTGAGTCTGGTCCGAAAATCAGACCAGACTCAAACTTGACTAAAGTCTAGTTCGAGCCTGGTCCGTAGGAGCACTACCTATAACCACTTTTATCTGGATTTTTTGTTGTTCTTCCTAAAATTACATTCATACTAGTTTTTGCAGCATATCTTTCGATAGTTGTATGTGCTTCATCAAATGTAGCAAATATACATCCAATTCTTAGAGCATCAGCTTCTATAGTAAAAAAAAGTTACAAAACTACCTGAAAAAATAACACTAAAAATTTTCTGAAAAGTGTAGTAGTTTATTAATAAAAAATTAAATGATATATAAAAAAATAAAGTACTCTAAAAAGAAAAAAAAAGAAATAAAAAAAATAACTAAAAAAGGCACCTCAAAAAGAAAAAAAAAGTGAGATGATAAAAAATAGCTAAAAAAAAAAGTGCCCTGAAAAAAAATAATTTAATCTAAAAAATGAAACAGTGAAAAAAAAATAATAATAATAATAAAGCGATCTGGAAAAAAACTAAATGAAAGATCTAGGAAAAGCGACCTGAAAGATTAACATAAAAAAGATAACCTGAAATAAGCTATCTGAAAAAGCGAACGAAAAAATGGCAACCTGGAAAAGGTGACCTGAAAAAACGATTTTGCAAGAATGGCCTGGAAAAAGCAATCTGGAAAAAACGACCTAGAAAAAGCGATCTGGCAAAAAATAAAATAGCAAGAAAAAAAATTTTTTTAAAAAGCTTATTTATATATAGAAGGTTTCATTGGTTGATAAAATTAATGTACGTGATGTTACA